GGCTTGCTGCTGGAGGCCGTCGCTGCTGTGTCTTCCCCGGCCAGCGTCAGGTGCTCGGCCCCTTGCATAAGGCAGCTCTCGGCAGATGGAGATTAAACTCGAGGTTAATTGGGAGGATTTTTGAAATGCCGTGCGCTGTAGCAGGTTTGGGAATGCGGACTTGTCACGGCTTTGCGTTAGGGTGAGCTGGAAGTAAACGGGAGAAACGCATGTGGGAAACAACAGTGTTATTTTAACCTTTACAACTGCTGCCTGTGTGCTGGCCGTGTTTGTGTACCCATCAGGCTGAACGTTGAAACCCATGACAGTGTCATTTATTTCCTTATGCTTGCTTTATATCTCCTGCCTCCATTTTCTGAGCCTTTTCCTGCTCGATGTCCTTGGAGGCTGCTGCTTGCAAAGCTGGTTCTTGCAAAGCCTGATGAAGGGGCAGATAGTGGACCGCTTTAGGGTGCTTGGCATGCCGGTCTGACCTGAGACATCCCTGGCATGAGCCTGGGCATCAGGGAAGGGAGAGCCTGGGTCGTGTGCGGGAGATAAAGGCTGCTGGAAAAGCCAGGTTGAGGATGAGCTGAGCTGTGGGAAGGCATGAAGTTCTGGTGGGGTGAGCAGGGAGGAGAGGTGATCGCCTCTGTGCCAGCTTGGGGAGGCCACTCCTGGCCTGTTCTCATTGGGGTCTCAGGATGGAAGTGGCTTGCATGGGTCCTAGAAAAAGGTTTTAAGGTTCAAAAGCAAGAAGCTAAAAGTCAAACTACTGCCTCTTCCCCTGTACAAATTTAGGAGGTAATTTGGTTGTGATCTCAAAATACTTGTGCAGGGCAAAGCTTCCTTGCAAGGAGACTCCAGCCTAGAGAACAGGGGAGAGGAAGAGCCAGGGCGGTGAGAAATACTTGTGTGGGTTTGAATTAAAACCCAAGGGCAGCGGTGTTGGCTGGTGAAGGGCAGCTAATGCAGGGATGCAAGGATGTGTGGGAGGCTGCGTGCTCCTGGCGTTGGGGGGCACCTGCATGTCTGCCCAGCGGAGGCAGCCAGCTGATGGAAACCTGGGTGCTGGTGCTGCAAGAAGAGCCTGGAGCTCGGTCCCAAGGCACAGCACGTGGATCTGAACCTCTGGAGCCCAGCGGGTTGGCGTGCCCCCTCCCAGATGACCCGTGATGAGCAGCAGCCCCTCTCTTAGGGACACCCGTGCCAGGGGTGCTCAAAATCTGGCATGGCTTGGTGCATCAAGTGCAAAGTCACCTGGTGCAGGTGCTCATACCTCCCGAGGTGGCTGGGAGCGCCTTGGGGTTGCTGCACCTCTTCGGCTGAGGAAGTCTAGGACCTGCAGAGGAGCCACCGCATCCTGGGTTGACGTGATGTCGTGTTGAGTTAAACTTCTGGATGATAGGTGTCCTCTCCTGCAGCCCTAGCCCCTGCTGCAGGTGACATGGCTGGAAGTGTTGACAGCCCTGGGGTGGGATTTTTGTTAATCGGGACTCATCAGGATAACATCTTTGTGGGGACACGCACAGCCACAAATATGGCTGCAGCAGGTGGTGGGGCTGGCAGGGCAGGAGAAGAGGTGCAGGCAGATTTCCACAGAGGTGGCTGGTGTGCCCTGGGAGGGGGTCCCGGCACAGATCCGGAATGGCTGGGTGATGTCCAGACAGGTTTTAATTGTGCTGCCAACTCTAAGGAAAAGAAATGCCCTCCGGCCCTGGCAGGGCTTTTGGCGCTGCAGAACGCGAAGAGTTTCTCCTGGTTATTCTGCAGCTCTGGGAGAGCTGTTAATAGCCAGCAATTGGGCATCGACCACCACCTCCTCTTGGCCTGCACCATGTGGGGAGAAGCTGGCAGGGGAAGAGTTTGCTATTGAGATGGCAAAATGGCTTGGGCAGTGGCTGGCTGTAGATCCCAAACCTCCTGCTGCGTGCTCCTGGAAAAACTGCTTTTTGAAATCCCTCCATCACCTCCTTTTGAAGGAGCCAGGATGCACTGCTGGGCCATGCTGCAGCCTGGGCACCTTATTTCCCATTGCCAGAAACCTGCTGGGGAAGCAGCTGGGTTGGTTCCCTGACGCTGGGTTAAAAAAAAATTAAAATCATTTCCTTGAGAGAGAGAGCACACTGCCAAAACCTCGCCTCGGCAGCGTAAAGCCGGCGCTGTCTCAGCTGGGAGAAGAGCAGTTGCAGCAGATGTAGCTCGAAGATAGCAGCAGGCCCTGATTCAGGGCGGTCATGCAGGACAGGCTGGTTCTCATGGTGCCCTGGACCTCTGCAGGCAAAATGTCCTTAAACAGTCAAACATGAAGGTGAGTACATAGGAATGGAGAGCAGGCTGTGATCAGGTCCTGTAAGACTGCAACCTGGAAAACCTCGCCCTGAGAGGGATTTGGGGACCTTAGATGTTGGTGAATAAAAGTGAACGTCCAGTGGCCATGCATCTGAAAAGGCAAGTGTGAGGGTTTTTTTCTGGGGAGGAATGTGTAGGAGCAGGGGGTGTCATGGAAGAGCCTCTCTCCCTTGCTGCCCCTGTCCTTGTGAAGCTGGAGGTACATGTCCCAGGGGATTAGTGCTCACCCATTGCCCATCGCCTGGGCTCTGCATCCCGCGAGCCATCGGAGCGATGCAGGCTGTGTGCTCCCAGCTGGGGGTGGCTTTCTCCTCTCGGCAGTACGGCATCGGTGCCTGCAGGTAGTTCAGAGACATGGCCCACCTGGCACCCAGGGCCGTGGAGCTGCTGGTTGGGTCTTGCCTGTCTGTTCGCTGGGGGAAGGAAGTTCAGCAGCTTCTTCTGGTCTGGTAGCTGGTTTCCGTATGCTAATTGTCTCCATATGGAAGATTTAACTTGGGGCGGTTCATTAGCAAAAGCCAGTCCTTTATGAGCGCCAACTCAGAACCCAGCCCTGCTCCTCTTGCCCGGAGTGGTGCCGGCACACCCAGGTGCAGGTGTGCCCCTGTTTGGGTGTCTCTTGATTCCCAGGCCTTTGGGTGAGAAATTACTTGATGGGCAGTGCCTGGCTGCGCAGCTGGCGTGTGAGCGGAGGTGAGTCCCTGGGATCCTGCCAGCTGCAAACAGCAAGCATTGTCTCTTCCAGGGCAAGGCTGCCCTGTGCCATCTGCCCCCAGGGATGTGGCACTGGGATATGGCAGGGCTGTGTGTGACAATGGGGACGTGGAGGTGGAAGAGCAAGGTTCACGTCCCCGGAGCAGCTTATGGCTTCCCTGGGCTCGTGCCTCCACTCTCAGACCTTCCTTAGCAGGGTGTGCTCTACCAGCCATGGAGGTGGTGGTCCTTGTGGGTATTGCCACTTCTCCATGGGCATCTGGGAAAGCCTCCTGCCCCTGCACGAGCTGGGAGCCCTGCTCTTG